CCGATAACTTTAATCTCTACTGACGCGAATGCGCACTTGTCGATGTTAGCGTAGAGCTTGTTTGCTCGCATTACGTCCAACACTCGACGGAGGTGCGCCGGATGCACCTCGATGGCCGTCTCGCCTCCGTCGGCACGGCTATGGACGAATATGTCGTCGAAGTACGTCTGTACGAAGGTACGCAAAGGGCGGAACAATTACGTCACCAGGCGATTGAACGTCGTCGGGGCGTTAAACAGGCTCTGTGGCATGACGAGCCACTCCCAAAGCATGCCGCTTGGAGTGCTCACCGCGGTGAGCGGGATGTCACTCTCTCGCATCAAGATCTGGTACCAAATCCAGCGCACTGTACAGTACGCTCCCGGCCATGTTGTTTGACAACACATCCTTTCGTGGGATTGGTGTTTGGGCCGGCACCGTTGTTATAAGCGTGAACCAGACGCCACTTTCCGTTCGGCTTCCGAACGCAGAAAGTTGGCGTCGAGTGCGGGGATTTCGACTCCCGCACCATGTCTACCTTCGCGTTCGCGGCGAAGAAGGCATCAATGACCTCGCACTGTTCGCGCGGGAGAGGGCATTGCCTCGTGACACAATACTTTGTGCCGTACGCCTCGATCCGGTGGGAGTTGGGTCGGTGGGTGTTTGTTCATCACGTCCGCATACTCCGTCACCAAAGGATACACCGGATCCTTGGGGTTTTTAAGGATCTCAGAACCCAAACGCGTCTGACGCTGCTTCTTTAGGTCTTCCAGGACGTTCTCGTCCAAGACAGAGGAGGCGTTCAGCTGCTCCCGAGTGGTCTCAGGTCTCATGAGCACTATCTCAGCAATCTCTCCAGCCTTGAGGTTGGCCAGGAAAGACTCAACCGTCATTTCCTCGAGGTTCAGTATCTTCGCAACCTCTGGCAACGGTTCCAAGTGAACACCAGATGCCTTGACGGATAAACCAGTCTCGCCATCGATGATGTGGTAACATTCTTCCACCGCCTTGTCGGAGCTCCCCGGCCCTGGCCTCCGAGTCGCTTGAAGCGACGTCCATCTGAACGAAGTTCGGATCCGAGTTCAGGCGGCCGCGGCGTCGTTAGCGACGGCGACCGTGACGTGGAGCTTTACTGCCCACGTCTGGGGATGTCGCCGCTGAGACATCCGAGGTACGCGTGGCCTCGTGTGGTACTGTGGTACCCTCACAGGAAGCGTGTTCGACGCCTTCCTCTTCAGTTAAGGTATAATCGACCGCGTGTGGCACGGTGTTATCCACACAGGAAGCGTGTTCGACGCCTTCCTCTTCAGTTAAGGTCTGGGCGACCGCGTGTGGCACTTTGTTACCCACACAGGAAGCGTATCCGACGTCTTCCTCTTCAGTTAAGGTCTGGACGACCGTGAGTGGAACTCTGTTACCCACTCTGAACACGCTGTCCTCAGTGTTCGTGACAGCTGCAGCTGTTTGCGGAACCAAGTTACCCGCTTGTGGACCTAAGCTACCCACTTGGCCAGCACCTCCTCTGGGCGCTGCCACCATAAAAACATCCTCGGGGTCGTCATATACGTCGACGACTCATAAGCATCTGCCGAAAGCTTTGGTACCCTGGCAGCCCTCGCGGGCGCCCCGGGTCCTGACAGAGGTGGAAATATGACTCACCAATGCTCTGGCGGACTTCGCAGGGCGGCTGGCACCGATTGCCTTGCCTCGCCAGTCGATCCTGGGCTCGTGCTTCTAAAGCCAGGGCATGCTCAGGGTCATATCATATGGATCCATATTGAGAACAGTGAGCTGCTCGAGGCTGTCAAAGTCTTCAAACTTGACGGCCAGATCCACTTGGTCATTGGAGACAGTTACGACCTTCCCGTCGGCCAGTCGCACTGACACCGTCCCGTTGCCCTTGCTCTCTCTCAAAGCACCGGACAACTTGTTGCTATTGTGAGCAACTGTCTGGCGGTGTGCGAAACTCTTCGAATCGATCAAGATTCTAAAGGGATGATCGTGTCCCCGTACACGACCGTGTACTACGAGCAGCCCGCCGCTGCTCTTCGACGATTCGAGAGTGCGAAAATTCTCAGAGGCTAAGCCCCCGTGGTACGCGCCACCCGCGCACCCATCACGAAGATTTAGTTCTTCCCCAGTAGGGCGCCCCGCCCCTACTGGTTTCCGGCGTTCCCGTGTCCCCGGGATCCTGGCTTTTGCCAGCGACCCTCGAGGACGGGCTTATGGAAAGACCATCTGCGGAGTCTTTCCGCGGGACAGTCGCGCTTGAAGTGGCCCATCTTCCCGCAGCCAAAGCAGCCGATGTCACGCTGGTCGGCGGAGCCGAGTTCCATGGGAACCGGTCCGTTGGGGCTTGTTCAACCGGGGGCCGACATGGAACTCCCAGGTCACGCTGAGGCCGGCGTACGCGCCTGGCGATGGCTGTACTCTTCCTGAAGGGCCACTTGATTCTCCTTTTCAAGGGTGTTTGACCGCACCCGGAACAGCTGAGTGCGTGCGAGGCCCACTCGAAGGCCGTCCATGAACACAGTCATCTTGATGTGTTCGTTGAGTGGGTTTCCCACTAGAGAAGCCGTGAGCTCCCGTATCATTTGCACGTACTCGTGCAGCTCACGCCTCCCTTGTTTGTACGAGAGGAAGCGCGAACGCTGGCGGTACTCGTAGTTCACCGGGAGGAACGCGGCTCGGAGCTGCTCACACAGCTGAGCCCAGGATGTGAAACATCCAGGGGATGTTGCTTCCCGTGTGTACACCCAACTCTTAGCACGGCCGCTAACGTTGGAGAGTGCAAAAGCAACACGAAGTTGCTCGGTCGAGATCAGAGCCGCATCCATCGCGATCTCTACTTCTCGGACCCAGAAGTGAAGGTTCTCGCCTTCCTTCCCTTCATACGGCTTAACCTTCAGCCGTATTGGCTTCGGGTGAGGCGGATTTGCTTCCGCCGCCGGAGCCTGCAGGTTCTCCCGCACATGCGCGATGAGGCCCTGCTCGTACGAGTCAAACGCATTGACGCGGTCGAGCTGCTCTGCCGGTGTTGACACCACCAGGCTCTACAGGGCCTCCATCCCGAAGATGCCTGCCATCTTCCGAACCGACTCGAACTGAGAGTCGTTTATATGGGAGAAGTCGTTCATGTCCATGACAACGAGCTTCGGAGAGGTTCAGGTAGTCTACCCGCGGTGTCGTAGATTGACTACGAGTGCTACTAAGTGTGACGGGGTCACACAGCACCTTGCGCTAGAGGAAGTTAGCTTCCGAGAGTATACAAACTCTCAGTGAGCGGCAGTTCACAGGTCCCCTCTTTATTTAAAAGAGAGCGAAGTGACCTAATTAAGGTAGAATGTAAACTGAGTATATCTATAGGTAGATAAAGCTTGGGTTTAATACAAACTATAAGTCACCTATAGAAATGCAATGTCATCAACCAATGGTTGGCTTTGGACGACCTTGGTACCTAGTACCAAATATTCCGAAGTATGACACGTCACAATTCATGTAACCAGGGTACACTTAGGGCTACGTACCCCGTTACACACAGTGACGGCAAAGTTGGCGTCGTGTGTTGGCACTGCTGAGCGCATTAATCTAGCGTTACGGGCTGCAGATTTATATGACGCACGTTTTGGATGAGGCTATCGGTAGAGAACAAGAGCAAATACCTTGATTTTGCTCTATCAACATTCAACCGTTTGAAGTTTTCCATCTCGATTGCCTTTGTCTGTGTCGCAAATACTCGTCAGTCCTAAAGCCTGCTTTTGTTGTAGAGCCTGACTGAAAGAGTTACTATTGATATTTAATATCGAAAATAGTACTATTACTATCAAAAAGTTTCATACTACTCTGTTCCATCTCAAATCTAACGCAACGAGCGACCGCACAAAAATAAATGATATCATTGGCTATTATTAGACTAAGAATAGAGATTTGCTATTTTCTAATTTGTGGCTACCAGCTACATAATACGTGTCAGCTGTGCAGATAAGCATGATGTGCTGCCGTCTGATCGCTCTAACGGCAGGCACAACAAATGTTGATGTTGTCAACATCGCTATCAGATACCAGCCAGCTAAGTCGCCTGATATGAACGTACTCGACTTACGTCTGTTTAACTTGCTACAGTCGGCTCAATACCGCACCATGTAGTACGTCACTCTGACCACTACATTCACTCTCAGAGGTTTAGGGGTACTCTGGATGCCCTTTAATGCACAGGAAGAGCGGACGATGGATCATGAAACTCCGTTTATGCAACAGATCAGAAATGACAAAAAACGACGAAACAAAAGACACAAACGTAGTTGAATTCAAATTCTGCTGTTCCCCAGGGAAATTGTTACCTTCTCGAGCACAGACTTAAACGCCTGAGCTGCCTCCCATGCATTCACTTCGTCAATCGCCGGGTGGCGGTTTGGATCCGCACCGCGCAGCACCGATTCAACCAACTGACTCGTCTCATCGTAGATCTCTTGCGTCAGATCATACTTGCGCAATAGCGCCAGCGTGGATGCCTCTAGCGGCGACAGCGCCACCGTTGAGCGTCGCGCTATCTCGTCCAAGTGGCCCGTGCAGTACTTTTCACTGGACGGGTTCCTCCACTTTCGACACGTTCGATCCTCCTGGATCAGCCAGTGCGTGCATTTTGGTGGCTCGACCTTCACTCGCGCCTTGCTCGCGCTCTTCTTCGACTTGCTCTTCTTGACTGGCTGCTGCTTCTTGGGTGCGCGCGCCATGATCAGCGTGAATGAGAAGATGCTCATGCTTCCACACGCCGTGGATAAGAGCGATGGATGTGGATCAGAATTTTTATTGTGGCGTCTGCTTACCACTGTATGAGAACAACAACTTAACAAATATGATACCCTCTTCAAAGAGATGGTGCAATCGACGTCATTGGTATCACAGACGCCGCAAACAGCGTTTTCCGATACTGAGAGATGCCTATTTGCCGCATCCCCCTGAAACTTAATTTCTCGGGTGGCAGGACTATTTCCGGATGACACAACAATCAAACACCCCGTTTTAAGGATGAAACGCATTAGACACACCTTAGAATACGAACCAACCACTTCTGAACGTAAGCGAGCCATATCATAACGACTCCGACCAGCCGAGCACCTTCCGACTCCGATCCGACGTATCGCAAAACTTTATATATCGTACTTAATACCTAAGTTTGGAGGTTTCGTAAAAGCGCGCTAATTGGTTCATTGAGCGTAATTACTCCTCGTAATCGAGTGGCGCCGGTGCAATATTGACTGCGCCATTTTGCCCTGCAAGCTCAGTGCTCGATTGACCACCTGGAACGGTGAATTGAGGGGGGCGTACCGCGCATCGGTACACCTAAGAGGGTATGTCGCGGCCACAAAGAACAGTGGATCACCGTTAATTCCCCGTCGAGCACCCAGGTGAGTATCCCTGTGCTGTTGTTGTCTAACCCCCACCGATGTAGCTCAATGGTAGAGCTCCCGAAAGGGAAGGAGGTGGTTCAAATCCACCCATTGGTAAAAATTTTATGCTCGAATGCCTGTTGCAGGTCTCTACATGATTGACATGATATAAGAACCAGCTACAAGGACACAGAGAGATTGGATTGTGTTACGGGAGCAGCTTGAGCATGCTTTGGTGCTGTGTTGGTGTAGGGTCTACAACTCTGCCGATGGTAAAACGCTGATGGTAGGCACTGATGAGACTATTCAGCTTGCCTTCGCGGTGCATCTGCCGAAGAACCTTAAGCACAGCGTTGGATCCCTTTGACGGTACGCCCTGCTCGCCTAGGAACACTGTGACTTTGTTTGACGCTAACTCTCCGAGCTGACGTACTGTATCTTTGTAGCTGGATGATAACTCGTCGAGCGCGTACCCGTCTTCGATGAAGAGCCTCATGAAGGCCACGAGCTGCTTGGAATCCGATCTCTTGTGCTTATTAGTACTCTGCCATCCACGCGGAACAGCCGTGTACCACGCAAACCACGTGTCAACAAGCGGTATTGTCTTGGATCGACGGCGACGCTTTACTGGTACGATTTCATCTTCGTCTCTTACTCGCTTGGCTTGATTATCTCGTGCTAAAGTTTCCCCTTCGGTGTTGTTCATTGCAGCTTCTAGCGAGTTAACTCGAGCTTCAAGGCTACGGTTGACCTCAATTAACCTTTCAATCAAGGCAGTTTGATAATTCAACGCAGCGTTGGCCTTTACATTTTCTTCAGTCATGGCTTCGACGGTGGTGTTGGCGTGTTCATTTGACGCTGTGAGCCGTTGTGACCATGCAAGCAGGTTGGTCGTCGTCACTCCAGAGGCTTCCGCACATAGGTGAATTGTCTTCATTGCAGGTGTCTTCGCGTTGATCTTCACTAACGACGGGTAGTGGAGGAGGAGGGTTGCTGCTAGCACATCTCTCACAACAGCGCAGACGTTAAAGGCCTTGTTACCCAGATCATGGCTCGAGTTGAAAAGCTTCCGGCTAACCTCTCTAACCTTTTCTAGTGTTGCAGCGTCGAAGGATTCCAGAGACGGGAGAGAAGAGGCTTGCTTTGGCGTCATCCCACTCAGCACCTTAGCAACTTGATGATCTTCTTTAGGGGTGTTGAAGACGTACGCAAAGGCTTTGTTAGTCGTAGTCAAGTTCCAAGCTCCGCGATCAAAGATCCATTGAGCTGCCAGCTCTGAGTTTGCGTTCGCGTGTTGCGCGCCGCCACGGCGAAACGAATGTGACGTCAGCGACACTTCGACTCCAGCAGGACCAGCAACGCGATCGAGCACGCGGTTGACAAGAGCGTGGATTCCAACTGTTGGTGTCGCGTGAACAGTGGTGCTACCTGGCGACGTCTGAGAAGAATTTAGGGCACTATTGTCGTCAAGAAGTTCCAGTAATGGTATCGAGGCAGCTAGGTCAACAGGAACGTCCTTCGACTTCACCGGCAAATGGTTTAGCAACGCTGCACACGGAGACTCCTGCGTAATCAATGCCAGCGCGAGCGCTAGCAGCGGACAAGTCATGAAGTCAGCGTCAGGAAAAAGTGACAGTGACTGCTCATCGGACGTCTTCACGCGGATGAATCGGATAAAGAAAACCCCTCCAGCTCCGACGGAGAGCTGCTGCTTCCGGACGAACGTAATGTCTGATGCACGGCCGAAGAGGTACCACAGGAGGCACAACAACGCAGCATCTCGGTAGTCCGACGCACAGCGAGCCGTTGAATATAAGTAGCGTATCATCTTCTTGAGATCCTCTTTTGTGCACGCAATAGCCTTCTTGACGAACCCACCACTTTCACGCTTGATGCAGGGCTGTTCAAGGGTACGCCCCATGCTGAGCAGCTGTCGTGCTACAGCGCCACCTTGAACAGGATACTCATCCAAAAGCCAGCATTTCACCTGGCGGAAGTATTGAGCGACGGAGTGGCGCGACAGAGGCTGCCCCTTTGCTCCTGCGTGGAATGCCAGGTACACACCAAACTTGTCCATTAGAGTCACTAGTATACTACTCGCGCGACTAGAGTCTGCGACGATCAAAGCCACGACGTGCTCCATGGTAGTATTCTCTAAAGACAGGAAGCGCTCAAACGCTTTTAAAGCCGTCGCACGCGCGCGCTTTGTGTTGGCGGGCTTCAAGTCGTTCAGGCTCATTGTTCTTGGTCGGAGAGGTAGAAATATGCAGGTGATACGTGGCAAACCTTTAGCAAGTATTACTATACACATATCTGGTCATCAACTCCGACTAGATACGTCGGAATCGCTCAGCTTCCGACTGCGCCCTAAACTATAGTTTTAATTGGATATAATTGTATTCTTGAAGCAATTTGATTCGCCCAATGCAACGGAGATCGCTTTAATTGGCTATAAAGAATAAGAAACGATTATCATTGGCTAGTGCGCAACATACTAAAAGTAAGATACGTCGGAGAGATAATGTTATTCATCCATAACTGCTCTTTTGATGAAAGGTGCTTGCGATCTACAACTTCATATTTTTCAACCAGCATGATTTTAAAGCTATCGACTCCGTACTTGTCAAAAAGCGGATGGATACTCAAGGTGCGGCGATTTCCGTTTAGATGCTTGTTGTAGTCATTTTTATGTTGTTGCCATCTGACTCGCAACTCATTGATTGTCGAGCCAATATAGACATCATTAGACTTTGAGCAAACAATCTTATACACTTGTCCAATCATCATACGATACGTATTATATTCAAGAACATTTATCTATCAGGTTCAACTGACTCAGCTGTTGGAGCCCAACCTTCGATGCAGTGGCATAAAAAATATAAGGAATTCGTAAGGAATCCACAAGGGATTCATAAAGAGAACACGACAAGAACATGCTAACAATTGCAAAGACAGATCGATCCAATGTTTCTTTTGCGATCTGAATTCACTCGTCTTTCGTTAGTTGATCTAACTCCTTCTTCAATCTTGGGCAGTTCGAATTAACGAACTCATTCTTAATTAGCCAAGCAATGTAACCTTTATCCTTATCGTAAATCCACTTTATCGTCTTACCTTTGTATTTTCCCCATACGAAAGGTCAGACCCACGGAGCTTTTCATCTAGAAACTTCTTGATTGCGGGGTACTCACCAATCAGAATTTCTTGTGGGTACAGCCACTTCGCGTATTGTTGATCAACTTCCCAGATCTCAGCAATTTGTTTGCCTCGGTACTTTCCAAAATTTACTCTAAGTGTGTCCATTTTAGCCTATACCTATAGACCGATACCTCTATGAAATAAATTAAATAATACAAACTACTAGCGCTAGTTAGCTCACAAACACAAAATGTTGATAGATCAATGTCGCAATGGACTTGATAAGACATAGTTAATCTATAAGAAATATCAATCAATAGTGGCATCCCGAGATGTAAGTTTGTTAATTTGCATACCAAGAGTAGGAATCAACATCAATATCGATATGGCCCTTCAATCATCCATAAGAAACATCAACCGATTGGCTATAAGAAACGCCAATCAATCAATCTATAAGAAATATCAATCAATAGGGGCATCCAATAGATGTTACTTTGTTAATTTACATACCGAGAGTGTTAATAGACATCAGAATCGTTATGGCCCTAGTAAAATTCATTGTCCCTGCTTGGACCTGGATGTTTCTGGGACAAAAGGTTTATTAATTATGCAGGTTAGAGATCTTCTCGTTAGTCTTATAGTAACTTTATATTCTTTGGACCTATGACCCTACGAAAATTATACTTGTCTATAGAAATATCTCAGTCAATGATGATCCATCATCATCTATCATCTTTTTCTAATAGTGGAGCTACAGCTTCACTTTTTCCTGGGACAAACCGTCACAACACGAAACGCGGGGGGATCGGCGTTGCGGTTGCTTCTCGTGTAACGAAACGTATTAAATTCACCCAGGGACGACAATCTTTTTTCCTGGGGACAAAGATATTATACGATTCTTTAATGAGATCATATGTTTCCAATCAAATGGTTAATGATTCAATCAAAGGGACGCAATTTGTCACGTTCAAGGGACATAAGAAATTTCTATTCCGATGTTTGTATATTAGAATATAGCATTGTATATAAGAAATGACTTACTCAAGCGACCATTATCAAATCCATAGAGAGCCGATGCTTGAAGCACAAAAACGCTACTATCGGAAGAACCGAGACGCCAAGTTGGCCAAGCAGAAAGAATACAATGAAAGAAACAAAGACAAGATTTCCCAATATCAAGAAGCGTATAGAGCGCGCAAGCGGGCTGAGAAATCCCGAGTAGAGATTAAATCGTGAAACTCAAATGGTTTTTTTTCGAGAACAATTTTCAGGTCTGAGAAAATTTTCTATTCTGATGTTTGTTCATTAGAATATAAGAAATATCAACATATCGAATAATAAATTTTGGAAATGTGCTCTGTCGAAAACTGTACCCGTAAATGCTACAAGGCTACACCTTGCTGCTGGAACCATCGTGGTCACATAAGTAAATTCACTGCGATTGCTAAGCCCGTTGTAGAATCAGTTCCTGAAGTGGCCGTCCCAGTTGTCGAACCAGTTGTCGAACCTGCCGCCGAACTAGTTGTAGAACCAATTCTTGAAGCCGTCGCCGAACCAGTTGTTGAGACCGTTGCTGAAGCAGCTATCGTACCAGTTGTGAATTCAGTTGCTGAAGCGGTTGTCGAGCCGGTTGTTGATCGAAATCTTGAATACGAATACAACTATGTCCATCGCGGGCGCCAATACGAACACTGGATTAAGAAGCACGCTAGTGGCGTTGGTAATGTAAGCTACTCACTATATGGAGAAGGTAAAGAATATCTCCATGATGTGAAGGATGTGCATGTGTTGCAGGTTGTTGATGGCAAAGGAAAGAATCGTCGCTTTGTTTGGCTATACAGCCATGTTGATAGATCTGCATTTGTTAAATTTGCTCACGAGCAGTTGAAACATGAGTGTCATGAAGTATTCATTGGCAATCGCAAAATCAAGTTCTTTATCGATTGCGATCAAAAGCTCACCGATGCGGAATTCAATGCATATGAGATGACGACTGACGAATTGGTTCTTCAAATGGCTACTGATTATATGGCCGCGTTTAGGCACGCACTTGAATATATCGATTGCAATTTCGCTATCTACGAAGACGACCTTGACTTTTTTGTGACGAATCGATCGCGTAAAATGGACAATGGCGTCAAATTATCCACGCATATTGTTACCAACATCGGATTTACTGTTGCAGAGTGTAAGGCTATCGTCAAATACATGCTGAGGGAGTCTTTCACACAAATCAGCGATGTCGGAGACTCTTACATCGAGTTTTTAAAATCGTGTATTGATCTTCAGCCATATCGCAGCAATGGATCGCTTTCACTTCCAGGAGGAACCAAACGAGGGAATGTAAATCAAGTAATCAAACCATTCAACTCTACCTTCAACACGCCATTCTTGTTGGATACTGCTGCTGATATGGCATACACTGATCATGATTTGACCAATGATTTGGAAATCAAGACAGTTGATAAGCCGCAAGAAATCTTCGCCGAGTCGAGTAATGAGTTTATTGACAAAGCGATTCAGAAGATCAGCAAGATCCCAGATTACGATCCTTCAAATTTGGATGTTTATGGACGGGCTCCAAAAGGTAACTTCGTTTATGTCAAACGTACTGGCCCATCGCATTGCTCTGTTTGCGACCGGATTCACGAATCGGACGATACGATGCTTCTAATCTTCAATGAAGAAAAACAATGTGCTTGGTGGAAATGTACTCATGCTCCTAAAGAAACAAAGGCGATTCGCTGGTTTGGACGTGGAAAAACTGAAATCTCAGTTGATGAGGATGCGTTCGCGCCAGAAGACATTGAATCCTTCGCTGCTATCGCTAAGGAAACAGCTAAACCCCAAGCAGAACGCAAGCTTACTGAAGCTCAGCGGCTAAAGTTGAAGTTAATCAAAATCGTTGGCGATAAATACAGACCTCGGGGGCAATCTATGAACGTCAGACGGATTATTATTACACCTACAAGTATAGTGATCCAAAGCTATTTCTGAACCATATCTTTGCAAATGATGAATCATATCAGTTGTCCTCGAAAAAAGAATCTGACGAATTGCTCCATTTCATTAAATATACAGTCCATCCAGGGTTTGCATTCATGGCATTAGATCATAATTATATTGGTTTCAGCAACGGCGTTTATGATTTATCAACCGCTAAATTTATTAATGCAACAGATGTCCCAAAGGGAATTCAGGTTCGTAAATACATCAATCAGAGATTCGAACACACTGAGACGCCGCTATTTGACAAATACTTTTCTTTTCAATTCACGGAAGAAGAGGATCGCGAGTTCATTTACTTTCTGATTGGTCGGTGTCTAACAGTTTTGGATGACAAGTTTGACTTCATGCTAATGATTCATGGACAGGGAGGATCAGGTAAAAGCCTGTTGGCCAATCTCGTAAAGTTTGCATTCGGTCAAGATCAGATTGGACTTCTAAGTAACTCAATGCAAGAAAAATTTGGCCTGAGTGAATTTGCCACGAAGCAAATCGTTTGCTGCGACGACATGCCTCATAACATCGCTAAGACGCTTCCCCGATCAGACTTCTTATCGATGATGACTCGCGGTTCGATTTCGTGTCCTGTCAAAGGGAAAGGCTCCATTGAAGTGCTAGATTGGAATATTCCAACTCTAATCAACTCGAATCATATGCCGAACTACAAAGACGAAGCTGGCGAAATCGTTCGTCGTCTGATGATTGTTGAATTTGGCAAGCAAGTCCCTGATGATGAAGTAGATGTGGAACTTGAGCAAAAAATCAAAGATCAAGAGTTTGCAACGTTCTTGCATCGATGCCGTTCAAAGTATATCGAGTTCAAAGCCAAATACGCAAGCAAGAAGGTGACAGCATTTGCTCCCCAGTCGTTCATTGATAGAAGCAATGAGTTTCGCGAGACTGCTAACAACAGCTACGGATTTGCTATGGGAAACGTAGCATATGAAGAAGGGGCAGAAATATCAAGATCTGAAATGCGGAGACACTTGCTCGTTTGGATGCAAGAGAAGTTCGGATTGGATAAATTACCCAAGGAACAGTTAAAGCCACAAGAGATCGAGCGCGCTCATAGTAAAATCAAGTATGTCGAAATGAAAATCTGCACACACTGTGGAAACAAACATACGAAGGATTGCTGTAAGGACTACGAGTGCAATGCCAGAAGCACCAAGCGATACTTCATTAATGCTAAAATATTGTATCGGGTGTCATCGTTGAGTAGTACTGGTACTCTTGATCGATACCGGTATCATTTTAGTATCACTTTTAGAACCTTTGTTGATTTCAATGATCATCGCCAGGCGAGCGTGTATAACTTGAAGAAAGGTGCTAGCTAGCCGCCAAGATTTGTCTCGATGCAAGTCTGCAAGCATTCGGCTCGCATTTTGCACTGTTCCACGAAATGCTTCGAGAGACAATTCGATAACGACAGTGGAAGTCATCCAACTTGCAGACGCACAGCTTGCCAGTAGTTTGTGGTCGTGGAGGACGCCGTCGGAGAATTCATTAGCAGTAATTGTGTCGATAGCCAAATCACGAGATGGATGGTCGATGATCATATGCTTCCTCCAAGTGCTACCATATCTACACAGAGCCTAATCCGTTCAGATTGCGCGGATGGACAATTCACCGTGCGGCATGGACTACAACAAGTCGCAGTAGTGCGAACTTAGGAAGACCGTAAGTTAGGCGCTATAACATAAAAGCACATTGTTTCTTGCCGCTAAAATGAAAACTCCGCAAATTGGTCATCAACTTGAACTTTCAACCGCTTCGCTTTGATAAAAGAAAGCAGCTCATCCGAAGTACGGAATCCTCCACTCGGCTCCTCCCGCTTCCTCACGATTTCCCCAACGACTTAATCCACTTCTTTCGCATCGCCTTGAAAAACAGTTTTCAGCGCAGTTTTGCACGCCGAGTTGATAGAGATGACCGGCGAACACGCCGGATGATACGCCAAAGTGCCATGGAACTGCTCTGTCTCGGCTCGGCTCAAGACGAAGCAGTCATCTGGTACCACATACGTCGCCAGATTTGACGGCGAAACGCAATTCATGACCCCTCGCACCAAACGCGCACCACTCGCGACGAGAAAGTCCGGACAAACGCTCAACTTACCAAGATAGGCTTTTGCGTGACTTGGCTCAAATTTACCGAACTGTCGTTTTCGCTGATCGACAAAGACAACCACACGGCCAGTCGTATCCTTCAGAGCAAAAAATATATCGACACACGCTCCGCCATCGTCATTCACTACAATGTAGCCACCCGACGTCCAGTCGATTGTTTCCAATCGGTTCCCTTTTCGTGGAATGAGCGGAGGAGTTGAGGCACCAAACGCGCCGGCACACCGAATCACTCTTGAAGGAGCAAGTTTCACGGAGATGCCGCTCGTTTCATCAGACATCAACGTGCCAGGCAGAAGATCTCTCAGCGTCACAGTCGAGTATCCAAGCGCCAACAACGCATTGATTCTCACTGCATAAAAGCAGGCACCGAAGATCTCCCACGACTGCCACGGCTGAAGGTCAAACAATGTAGAATCCACCATATTCCTGATGTCGTTTAAAGCGCTCGCAAAGTTTCTTTCTGCATCGGTTGCCAGTTTCGCACCACGTGATCCAATATTCTCCAACAGCGCATAAGGAACTCGAACATCATGCTCTCCAGACTTTGAAGATGTGCGCGGAATCAGCAAACATAGTGAAGAATCCCGAAGTCTTGACCACTTCAATTTCCCATGAAACGTGTCATGTGGATCAACCGTTTGTCCGGACACAGCAAAAGCTGCCAATCGGACGAGCTGCGGGGTTTCAAGTGATCTCAAGAAGTACGCCACGTACTTCGTCCAGACTGCCACGAAGCACTTGTTGATGTTGTCCAAATTCACGGGCTCCCCTTGCACGCAAGTATTTTTTACTGCTGTCAGATACTCGACAACCCATCGCGGAACGCCTCCAAGAACGAACAAATCGCGGCAAATCTGGGCATGACTCAGCAGCCCCGCATAGCTCGAGTTGCTTTCCACAATGCTGAACACTTGATCCATTGACAAGAGGTACATCGGAAGTCGCTCGGTCACGTAATACGAAGAATTTGCAATTGAACTGGATTCAATGACGCCCAAATCTGTCCCCGCGAACATGGGCAGCAAAACCAAACTCGACGACTTCAAGCACAGCAAAGCTCCAATGGCTTCCACGAGCTCACGTAGGAGTGACGTGTTGGGATCTTTTCGCTGAGCACCGATCTTCTCAATCTTTTGATATTCATCAACGCCGAGATAGAGATACAACGTAGCTGGTTCTTGCAGTTTATCACGCAGCTTGCGCTCGATGACTCTGACGGCACGTTTCAACTTCAGCTGTGCTCCATTGCGAGGTAGCCGCAACTCAAACCACTCGTCAAATTCACGATCGCAGTTCATGTCCAGAAAGAATCGATACAAGAGCCGCCACGAGAAAGACGCTTCGATTGGCATCGATCGCTCGACTGATTGGGGACTAAACCCGTTGAAGTACGGAACAATCACACGGGCAACGTGATTGGGGTTTAACTTCATCCGTTCCAAAATCGTGCCGCCTTCTTCTAGCATACGCGTTTTCCCCAGACCAGATATACCAGAGCAAACAGGCATTGCCACTTTGATGCGATCAGAAGCGGTTCTACTCGCATGTGTGATGATGTTCTTGAAGCACTTGGATGCTGTCTCAATCGCTTGCTCCCGCCCCACCAGACGGAACTCTAAACTTTCTTGCGCCAAAATGTGAGGCCTGGAAACAATTGCCGCCTTGTTCTTCATCTCGCTTTCCAAGAATGCGAGCAGATGATCGCACGAACGAAGATCCACTTCAGGGCCAGTCGGTACAGCAACCGGAACACTCACAGGAACAACCACATCATCGCTTGGAACCACCACCAGCACATTCACAAGGCCATTTCCTGCTGCCTCGTCATCTTCATCCACTTCGACCATTTTCTCTTCAGACAAACCAACGCGTCGGAGCTTCGCTCGCGCAGCATCCAGATGCTTCAGGCCGCTGGTGTCACTCACACCTTTGACCTCGTTTTCAGTCAGCCACGCGCCGCCCTTCTTGGCGAGGAATAGCTCCATCTTGCTGTTGGGGTGGCCAAACTGTGGGTGGTCTCGGATCATGTTCCGTAAGTCATCCACGGACTCGCTCGCATCGATCTTGACGGAGAACGCGCTGCCCTGCTCCCCGACCACCGCACAGAAGAGCTTCACCATCTTTCCTTTTGTTTTGTGGGTGAAGAAATCATCTTTCACCTCACTTTCAGGGTTTTATTTGGAATGATGGCTTCCAAAAATAACCTCGACTGAGGTTTAAATATCGGTTCGAGACCGGTTTTAAGTAGGGTATCGGTATCGAGTATTGTAACAGTTCGGACTTAAGGGACTGAAGTGTGCGTACTTTGCAGGGTGACCTTTCGTACGGCCGACTGTGTATCGATACTTCAACATAGGCTCCAAAATGATACCGGTATCGATCAAGAGTACCAGTACTACTCAACGATGACACTGGTCCGATACAATATTTTAGCATTAATGAAGTATCGCTTGGTGCTTCTGGCATTGCACTCGTAGTCCTTACAGCAATCCTTCGTATGTTTGTTTCCACAGTGTGTGCAGATTTTCATTTCGACATACTTGATTTTACTATGAGCGCGCTCGATCTCTTGTGGCTTTAACTGTTCCTTGGGTAATTTATCCAATCCGAACTTCTCTTGCATCCAAACGAGCAAGTGTCTCCGCATTTCAGATCTTGATATTTCTGCCCCTTTTTCATATGCTACGTTTCCCATAGCAAATCCGTAGCTGTTGTTAGCAGTCTCGCGAAACTCATTGCTTCTATCAATGAACGACTGGGGAGCAAATGCTGTCACCTTCTTGCTTGCGTATTTGGCTTTGAACTCGATATACTTTGAACGGCATCGATGCAAGAACGTTGCAAACTCTTGATCTTTGATTTTTTGCTCAAGTTCCACATCTACTTCATCATCAGGGACTTGCTTGCCAAATTCAACAATCATCAGACGACGAACGATTTCGCCAGCTTCGTCTTTGTAGTTCGGCATATGATTCGAGTTGATTAGAGTTGGAATATTCCAATCTAGCACTTCAATGGAGCCTTTCCCTTTGACAGGACACGAAATCGAACCGCGAGTCATCATCGATAAGAAGTCTGATCGGGGAAGCGTCTTAGCGATGTTATGAGGCATGTCGTCGCAGCAAACGATTTGCTTCGTGGCAAATTCACTCAGGCCAAATTTTTCTTGCATTGAGTTACTTAGAAGTCCAATCTGATCTTGACCGAATGCAAACTTTACGAGATTGGCCAACAGGCTTTTACCTGATCCTCCCTGTCCATGAATCATTAGCATGAAGTCAAACTTGTCATCCAAAACTGTTAGACACCGACCAATCAGAAAGTAAATGAACTCGCGATCCTCTTCTTCCGTGAATTGAAAAGAAAAGTATTTGTCAAATAGCGGCGTCTCAGTGTGTTCGAATCTCTGATTGATGTATTTACGAACCTGAATTCCCTTTGGGACATCTGTTGCATTAATAAATTTAGCGGTTGATAAATCATAAACGCCGTTGCTGAAACCAATATAATTATGATCTAATGCCATGAATGCAAACCCTGGATGGACTGTATATTTAATGAAATGGAGCAATTCGTCAGATTCTTTTTTCGAGGACAACTGATATGATTCATCATTTGCAAAGATATGGTTCAGAAATAGCTTTGGATCACTATACTTGTAGGTGTAATAATAATCCGTCTGACGTTCATAGATTGCCCCCGAGGTCTGTATTTATCGCCAACGATTTTGATTAACTTCAACTTTAGCCGCTGAGCTTCAGTAAGCTTGCGTTCTGCTTGGGGTTTAACTGTTTCCTTAGCGATAGCAGCGAAGGATTCAATGTCTTCTGGCGCGAACGCATCCTCATCAACTGAGATTTCAGTTTTTCCACGTCCAAACCAGCGAATCGCCTTTGTTTCTTTAGGAGCATGAGTACATTTCCACCAAGCACATTGTTTTTCTTCATTGAAGATTAGAAGCATCGTATCGTCCGATTCGTGAATCCGGTCGCAAACAGAGCAATGCGATGGGCCAGTACGTTTGACATAAACGAAGTTACCTTTTGGAGCCCGTCCATAAACATCCAAATTTGAAGGATCGTAATCTGGGATCTTGCTGATCTTCTGAATCGCTTTGTCAATAAACTCATTACTCGACTCGGCGAAGATTTCTTGCGGCTTATCAACTGTCTTGATTTCCAAATCATTGGTCAAATCATGATCAGTGTATGCCATATCAGCAGCAGTATCCAACAAGAATGGCGTGTTGAAGGTAGAGTTGAATGGTTTGATTACTTGATTTACATTCCCTCGTTTGGTTCCTCCTGGAAGTGAAAGCGATCCATTGCTGCGATATGGCTGAAGATCAATACACGATTTTAAAAACTCGATGTAAGAGTCTCCGACATCGCTGATTTGTGTGAAAGACTCCCTCAGCATGTATTTGACGATAGCCTTACACTCTGCAACAGTAAATCCGATGTTGGTAACAATATGCGTGGATAATTTGACGCCATTGTCCATTTTACGCGATCGATTCGTCACAAAAAAGTCAAGGTCGTCTTCGTAGATAGCGAAATTGCAATCGATATATTCAAGTGCGTGCCTAAACGCGGCCATATAATCAGTAGCCATTTGAAGAACCAATTCGTCAGTCGTCATCTCATATGCATTGAATTCCGCATCGGTGAGCTTTTGATCGCAATCGATAAAGAACTTGATTTTGCGATTGCCAATGAATACTTCATGACACTCATGTTTCAACTGCTCGTGAGCAAATTTAACAAATGCAGATCTATCAACATGGCTGTATAGCCAAACAAAGCGACGATTCTTTCCTTTGCCATCAACAACCTGCAACACATGCACATCCTTCACATCATGGAGATATTCTTTACCTTCTCCATATAGTGAGTAGCTTACATTACCAACGCCACTAGCGTGCTTCTTAATCCAGTGTTCGTATTGGCGCCCGCGATGGACATAGTTGTATTCGTATTCAAGATTTCGATCAACAACCGGCTCGACAACCGCTTCAGCAACTGAATTCACAACTGGTACGATAGCTGCTTCAGCAACGGTCTCAACAACTGGTTCGGCGACGGCTTCAATAATTGGTTCTACAACTAGTTCGGCGGCAGGTTCGACAACTGGTTCGACAACTGGGACGGCCACTTCAGGAACTGATTCTACAACGGGCTTAGCAATCGCAGTGAATTTACTTATGTGACCACGATGGTTCCAGCAGCAAGGTGTAGCCTTGTAGCATTTACGGGTACAGTTTTCGACAGAGCACATTTCCAAAATTTATTATTCGATATGTTGATATTTCTTATATTCTAATGAACAAACATCAGAATAGAAAATTTTCTCAGACCTGAAAATTGTTCTCGAAAAAAAACCATTTGAGTTTCACGATTTAATCTCTACTCGGGATTTCTCAGCCCGCTTGCGCGCTCTATACGCTTCTTGATATTGGGAAATCTTGTCTTTGTTTCTTTCATTGTATTCTTTCTGCTTGGCCAACTTGGCGTCTCGGTTCTTCCGATAGTAGCGTTTTTGTGCTTCAAGCATCGGCTCTCTATGGATTTGATAATGGTCGCTTGAGTAAGTCATTTCTTATATACAATGCTATATTCTAATATACAAACATCGGAATAGAAATTTCTTATGTCCCTTGAACGTGACAAATTACGTCCCTTTGATTGAATCATTAACCATTTGATTGGAAACATATGATCTCATTAAAGAATCGTATAATATCTTTGTCCCCAGGAAAAAAGATTGTCGTCCCTGGGTGAATTTAATACGTTTCGTTACACGAGAAGCAACCGCAACGCCGATCCCCCCGCGTTTCGTGTTGTGACGGTTTGTCCCAGGAAAAAGTGAAGCTGTAGCTCCACTATTAGAAAAAGATGATAGATGATGATGGATCATCATTGACTGAGATATTTCTATAGACAAGTATAATTTTCGTAGGGTCATAGGTCCAAAAAATATAAAGTTACTATAAGACTAACGAGAAGATCTCTAACCTGCATAATTAATAAACCTTTTGTCCCAGAAACATCCAGGTCCAAGCAGGGACAATGAATTTTACTAGGGCCATAACGATTCTGATGTCTATTAACACTCTCGGTATGTAAATTAACAAAGTAACATCTATTGGATGCCCCTATTGATTGATATTTCTTATAGATTGATTGATTGGCGTTTCTTATAGCCAATCGGTTGATGTTTCTTATGGATGATTGAAGGGCCATATCGATATTGATGTTGATTCCTACTCTTGGTATGCAAATTAACAAACTTACATCTCGGGATGCCACTATTGATTGATATTTCTTATAGATTAACTATGTCTTATCAAGTCCATTGCGACATTGATCTATCAACATTTTGTGTTTGTGAGCTAACTAGCGCTAGTAGTTTGTATTATTTAATTTATTTCATAGAGGTATCGGTCTATAGGTATAGGCTAAAATGGACACACTTAGAGTAAATTTTGGAAAGTACCGAGGCAAACAAATTGCTGAGATCTGGGAAGTTGATCAACAATACGCGAAGTGGCTGTACCCACAAGAAATTCTGATTGGTGAGTACCCCGCAATCAAGAAGTTTCTAGATGAAAAGCTCCGTGGGTCTGACCTTTCGTATGGGGAAAATACAAAGGTAAGACGATAAAGTGGATTTACGATAAGGATAAAGGTTACATTGCTTGGCTAATTAAGAATGAGTTCGTTAATTCGAACTGCCCAAGATTGAAGAAGGAGTTAGATCAACTAACGAAAGACGAGTGAATTCAGATCGCAAAAGAAACATTGGATCGATCTGTCTTTGCAATTGTTAGCATGTTCTTGTCGTGTTCTCTTTATGAATCCCTTGTGGATTCCTTACGAATTCCTTATATTTTTTATGCCACTGCATCGAAGGTTGGGCTCCAACAGCTGAGTCAGTTGAACCTGATAGATAAATGTTCTTGAATATAATACGTATCGTATGATGATTGGACAAGTGTATAAGATTGTTTGCTCAAAGTCTAATGATGTCTATATTGGCTCGACAATCAATGAGTTGCGAGTCAGATGGCAACAACATAAAAATGACTACAACAAGCATCTAAACGGAAATCGCCGCACCTTGAGTATCCATCCGCTTTTTGACAAGTAAGGAGTCGATAGCTTTAAAATCATGCTGGTTGAAAAATATGAAGTTGTAGATCGCAAGCACCTTTCATCAAAAGAGCAGTTATGGATTAATAAGCTCAGATGTGTAAATTCAGCATCTTCCTTCAATCCGATGCGTTGCGGAAATGACGCTGGGATGACTGTTATGTGCGAGTGTGGCGGTAGATACGTGCATTCAAAGAAGAAGCGTCACGAGCGCTCAAAGAGACACCAAAAGTTCGTCAGTCGAGACGCGTAATGATCGCGTCTTTTTATTCGCTTTGTGTCTAACGAATTCGCGAGTGCATCCTTTGATTGAATCAATAACCATTTGATTGGAAACTTATGATTCCGTTGAAGGAGTGCTTAATAACTTTGTCCCCAGGAAAACAAGATTGTCGTCCCTGGCAAAATTATATCGATTCATTACACCAGAAGCGATCATAATGCGAATTCATAGTGATTTATCATATTTCAGTTTGTCCCAGGAAAAAGTGAAGTTGTAGCTCCACTAGAAAAAGATGATAGATGATGATGGATCATTGACTGAGATATTTCTATAGACAAGTATAATTTTCGTAGGGTCATAGGTCCAAAGAATATAAAGGTACTTTAAGACTAACGAGAAGACCTCTAGCCTGCATAATTAATAAATCTTTTGTCCCAGCAACATCCAGTTTTACTTGGGCCATAACGATTTTGATGTCTATTAATCGTTTCGGTATCGAAATCAATATAGCAACACCGCGGCATTTGCTTGATGTTTCTTATAGATTGATCGCTTGAACACTGATTGGCTGATGTTTCTTATAGGTTGATTGGTTGATGTTTCTTATAGATTGATTCATTGATGTTTCTTATAGATTTAATGATTGATTTTTACCAGGGCCATAACGATTTTGATGCGGTATTGAAATCAATAAAGCAACATTGCTGATGTCATACCGGATTTTTATTTTTTATGGTGGGTATATACTGATATGGCTCGCTTACGTTCAGAAGTGGTTGGTTCGTATTCTAAGGTGTGTCTAATGCGTTTCATCCTTAAAACGGGGTGTTTGATTGTTGTGTCATCCGGAAATAGTCCTGCCACCCGAGAAATTAAGTTTCAGGGGGATGCGGCAAATAGGCATCTCTCAGTATCGGAAAACGCTGTTTGCGTCGTCTGTGATACCAATGACGTCGATTGCACCATCTCTTTGAAGAGGGTATCATATTTGTTAAGTTGTTGTTCTCATACAGTGGTAAGCAGACGCCACAATAAAAATTCTGATCCACATCCATCGCTCTTATCCACGGCGTGTGGAAGCATGAGCATCTTCTCATTCACGCTGATCATGGCGCGCGCACCCAAGAAGCAGCAGCCAGTCAAGAAGAGCAA